ATGATCTGCAAAAGTGTGGGTATTCTTGTGCATATGCCCTCTCTTCTTATCTGCTGGATGCTTCACTCTCCAATCTAGTTCTCTGTGGCTGTCACTGACTCTGGGCCCAAGAATCTCCAGGTCTTGCCACACTGCTGGCCAACCAGGTCTCCACCTGGGTTCACATAAGTCTATTGAATGTTGCAGGACTTAGCTCGCAGCTTCATTGCTGTTTTTCCCTCATTTCCCCTTGTCAGTGAAGAACGTGGTCACCAATCAGAGCACATGTATTCCCACTGAGTCTTAGTCTTGGAAGGGAGTTTGCTCTGGGGGGACCCAACCACTTGCCTTGATGTTTCCTGGGCAAGCAACTTGCTTGTTCTTGTAGTAATTAATCGGTCTGCCTATATTGTTTTGTATTCTTCCATCTTCTTTTGATGCTTTCTGCATCAGTCTACATTTTACCCATAGTATCCTTCAATATTGAAAGTCGAGGTTTGAATTTTCTCTTCAGTTCCCTCAGCTTGAGAAATGCTGAGCATGTTCTTTCCTTTTGGCTTTCTAACTTCAGGTCTTTGCACAGTTTAATTATAATATTTGCCTTTGTCTTCTTGAGCTGCCCTTTGAAATTTTCTGTTCAACTCTTTTACCTCTTCATTTCTTCCATTTGCTTTAACATCTCTACATTGGCGAGCAAGTTTCAGAGTCTTGTCTGAAATCCATTGTGGTCTTTTCCTTGTTGTCTTGTCTTCTTAATGACCTTTTGTTTTCTTCCTGTATGACGTTCTTGATATCATCCCACAGCTCTTCTGGTCTTGGGTCATTAGTGTCTACTAGACACTAATCTATTAGACACTAAGCGCATCTGTTCTTGAAAAGATCTCTAAAGTATGGTGGGATATATTCAATGTCATATTTTGGCTCTTGTGGACTTGTTTTACTGTTCTTCAGTTTCTGCCTGAACTTGCACATGAGCAGTTGGTGGTCTGTTGCACACTTTGACCCTGGTTGTGTTTTGGTTGATGATACAGAGCTGTTCTACCATCTCTTTCCACAGATGTAGGCAATTTGATTTCTATGTATTCCATCTGGTGAGGTCTACCTATTATGTTGTCTATGAAGAAGTCATTGTCTTGCAAAATTCTATCATGAGATCTCCAACATCATTTCTATCATAGAGGCCATATTTTTCAATTACTGATACTGCCTCTGTTGCCAAACTTTGTATTCAATTCACCAGTAATTATCAATGCATCTTATTTACATGTTTGATTAGTTTGTGACTGAAGAAACTGGTAGAATTTTCAATTTTATCATTACAAGTTTTAGTGGTTGATGCATAAGTTTGAGTTAATAGTTGTAGTAACTGGTCTTTTCTTGTAGGCGTGTGGGTATTATTCTATCACACACAGCATTATATTTCAAGATATATCTTGAAATGTTCTTTTTGATGATGAATGCGATGCCGTTCCTTTTCAGTTCGTAATTCCTGGCGTAATTCAGTTCGTAAACCTTGTGACTACTAGATTCAAAATGGTCAGTACCAGTCAATTTCAGCTCACTCATGCCTAGGATATTGATCTTTAAGCATTCCATTTTCTTTTTAACACCTTCCAATTTTTTAAAAGTTATAATTCATACATACCATATTCCAACTGTTAACGGATGCTTACAGCTGTTTCTCTTGTTTTGAGTCGTGCCTGTACAGCATATTAAGGTTCTGAGAATTTTACTCCATTTGCATCATCACAGTCAACTCTCTTGGAGGCAGCTCTTCTGCAGTCATATTTTGATGGCCTTCCAACCTGAGGGGCTCATCTTCCAGCACTGTATCTGATAATATTCTGGTGCTACTCATCATGCTTCAATATTCAGTATTCTGGTGCTATCTGACAGTGTTCTACTGTTATTCATAAGGTTTTCAGTGGCTAAACGTTCAGAAGTTGTCTGCCTCTCCTTCTTCCTAGTTTGTCTTAGTCTGGAAGTTCTGCTGAGACCTGTCCACCGTAGGTGACCCCGGTGGTATTTAAATACTGGTGGCATAGTTTCCAGCATCACAGCAACATGCAAGCCACCACAGTCTGACAAACTGATAGACAAGTGGTGGAAGAATGTAATAATTATGAATATTTCTTCCTCATTTTGATTATATGATAATTTTGATTAACTTTTTCTATGTATACATAATAACCAAATACAAATATTTTTGCTTTCTTCTCTGTCATTCCCTTATCATCAAATATAAGAAGTATCACTAGTAATTAGCTTCATTTTTTATTATTTAAATTACATGATACCAAATGTGAGAAGATGATCTTCATGATTTGAAGACAAATAAAGAGCTCTGTACTGCAGATATAGGATAAATGCATTATGTTAGGTTGTTGTTGTTGTTATGTGCCATGGAGTCAGTTTCAACTTATAGCGACCCTGTACAGGGTTTCCGAGAGCAGAAAGCCTCATCTTTCTCCAGCGGAACAGCTGGTAGTTTCCAACTGTTGACCCTGAAGTTCACAGCCCGATTTGTAACCACTACGGTACCAGAGCTCCTTAAGAATGAGTTTATTAGTGTCTTTAATTAGGGAGTAAGTCTGGTTTAAGAAGATGTGTATATGTCAAGTTGACAAAATGGTTTTGCAATGTGTCAATTTGACTATATTGAACTACATTTCCTAGAATCTCTTTTCCTATTTGTTTCCAGTTAGAGTCGAACACAAGAAAGATGCTTATGGAAGATACGGAGAGTGAAAGTGAAGTTATACTCAATTTGTAGCTGACACATGTATTGGTTTATCTGCTGGCTTACTTTGTGGCATGAAGCAATGGCCAGGTATGTGTGGATTTAGCTTCATGAAAAAGGGCACTGGCATCTACAGGACATCCACACAATCAAGGACAATGGCAATGATAACGGACATAGATTTAATTCCATCTTCATGAACTCTAGCTCATGCTTCTGGGGTCCAGCTCATTCTTGCTCCCCTTCACTTTACATTCATCGTCCCTTACCAGTTGTCTGCTCCACTGACTCAATTTCCAGTATCATATGCAAAGTCAACAGCCTTACAAAAACTGTCTGAGTGTTTCATGCTTCTCTGATTGAACCCTGGCTGATACACTTATAAAGTTTAGCTATAGTGACAGTGACATTCAGTTGAAGTTTAGGTATTAATGATTGTTTAGTTAGGACAATAGTTCTTTATGTAGTATTTTAACTCATCTCCTAATTATTTCCTTTAAATTTATAAACATTTCTGCAACTTTTAAGTACTTAGTATTTAGTTATCTCTTATGGATATTACGAGGCCCTGATGAAGTGCTATAGGATAAGCACTGGACTGATAAATGAAAGGTCAGTTGTTCAAACCCACCAGCTGCTCCTCGGAGACCCTATGAAGGATTGCTATGAGTCAGAATAGACTCAATGGCACTTAACAGCAACAACAAAGGTATCATGGATTCCTGTTGTGGCACTGTAGGATAAGCACTGGACTGCTAACTGCAAGTTTGGCAGTACAAACCTACAAGCTGCTCCCTGGAAACCCCCTAGGGGTCATTATGAGTTGAAACCAACTCAATGGCACATAACAACCACAATAGGTATTTCAGAGTGTGGTGGTGCTGTAGGATAAGTCCTAGACAGTGAACTGCAAGGATGGTGGTTGGAGTCACCAGCTGCTCCTTGGGAGAGAGATGAAGCTTTCTCCTTCTGCAAAGAGTTACTGCCTCAGACACCCCATACAGGGTCACTATGAATTGGAACTGACTCAACAGCACTTGAGAACAGCAACAGAGGTATTACACTGGGAGTGTGGTGGCTTTGTAGAATAAACACTGGACTATGAACCACAAGGTCAACGTTTCAAGCCCACCAGTTGCTCTAGTGGTAGAAAGATGAGGTTTTCTGCTCCCACAAAAATTTACAGCCTCAGAAACTCTCTACAGGGTCAGTATGAATTGCAATCAACTCAAAGACAATAACAACATAGGTGTACATAAAGTAGTCTGTGTACCAAACCTCTGCTTATTTTCTGGTATCTGTAACCAGAGTAAACTCATTTCTGTTATGTAGCCAAAACCAGATACTACCATCTAAATTGGCAGGGAAGTGTGAAAGCCAAAACAGGAAGTAGTGAGAAATGTTCCCAGCTTCTCTTCCCTAGACTACAGTACAAACTCTACAGACTGGGAATCAGTGCCCTCTTTCAACTAGTTGGAGCCCATCTGCTTCTTAGGCGATTGTCTGTCTACTTCTTTCCTTCCTTTAGACACGCGGGCAGCGCCTGCAAATATTTCTAGTCTATTCTAATCCTTAATCCATATACTAGTTTCTGTTTTGTTTGCTCAAGATGTTATCCTGGCATGACTTTCCATAACCCAAATCCTATCCAAACACCATGGTCCAGTCAAAGTCTTTTGCATAAAAGGTTTTTTCTAAGTACTGTAAGCTACAGTGATCTCTAGTCTCTCAATTCACATCCTTTTACTGTCTTTTGTAACATTGAGTTGGTACTCAATCAGAGACAAACATAGGCCCTATGGGATAGCCGATATGGCTACCCAACCTTTAATTTATGTATGTCTTATTTCTCTATGCTCCAACAATAATACTCATTTTACTCTTAAATTGTTTTACTACTTATTTTACTGAGCTTGTTAAATAAGCATTTTAAACTACTTAAATTTCTGATAGGTATCTTGGTGTGGCACTGTAGTATCAACACTGGACTGTGAAACATAAGGTCAGTGGTTCAAACCCATGAGCTGCTCCTCGGAAACCCGATATAGGGTCACTATGAGTTGGAACTGACTCAACGGCACTTAACAACAGCTAATTTCTGATACTGGATGAGAGCCATGTCTTACCTTACCAAGAATTCATTCAGTAATTTAAGTCAGAATCATTCAGTAATTAAAGTCAGAATAACATGCCTTATTCACAAAATAAAATTCTACTCTTTTTTAGAATACATTTTCACCTAAAAAAAAAAAAAATCATACATCCCTCATCAAACATATACCTGCTGAGACTCGGGGACAGTCGGGTAGCATGGACTCCACTGATGTGTCTAATGGTTCTGAGCTGGAGACCCAATTACAACAGTTCTGTAATATAAGAGAGACAATTCTCTGTTGAAACAATTTGAACCAAGATCAAATTTGTAGGCTTCAGAGATTAATTTATCCTCTATGAACAACCACTACAAGTGTATTCATTTTCCGTGCACTTTAAAGAATTTTCTAATGCAAACAGTAATTATTCATGACCAACACTAGTATTAAGAAAGGTCTGTCTTTTACAGTTCAGCCTATCATCTGTCCTCATATGAAGAAGACATATAACTTTCTGTGAACCAAGATGCAGTATTTTTAAGAGAAATTTAGATGGCCAAAAAGGTAAAAACAAACAAATAATAGATTTTAATTAAAGGCAACTGATTGAAACAAATACTAATTTAATCATATGGAAAATAACTACATTTCTAAATCATTTCCTTTGCATATATAATACTAGAAGAAATGAATATTTTACATTTATCCCTAAAAATTTGGTCAAAATAAATATGCCAACTTTTAACTTTTCTTAAACCTGGGTCAGTGAAAGCTGTATCAAAATAGTTCAAAACAAGTATAAGCTGGTGAATTGTTGTTGTGTCTGAGGACACAAAGCCTTCCATGATAAAGATCAACCTCTAAAGCAATGATAATTTACAACTCAGACAAGTGAAATGTAAAAACCTATATTCCTTTCATGCCTTTAAAATCTGTATTTTATGTCTGGCTTTTTAAAAAATGTGATTAACTTCATTTTTTTTTGATAATTTCTCACCACACATATATAGATACATACACACAACACAATGAATTTCCAGACAAATTTTTTAAAAAAGAAATCGCCCCATCAATCATGTTGGAAAAATCGTCAATTACTATTCTGATAAACAAGTGTGTATTGTGTATTTTTAGATGCTTGCTGCCCTGGTTGTGCACCATGGAATCCGTCCTTCCTCTGGAAAGATCCTTGACTGGTAGATCAAGTGTCTTATTGTATTTCCTTAATTCATTCTGTCTGGAGGAAGATGTCAGCTGTGCTGCAGTGAGGAGAGAATTTCAAAGGCCCCAGTCCCCACCAATAAAGGCAGAGGAATGGCTTTTGAATAGATTTTTCAAGGCAACCCTACTGTTCTGGGACCAGGGAGAGCAGGAATAACATAAAGGAAGAGTTGCTGTATGAGATTAGAAAGTGAAGTTCACAAAGCAGGGCAGATTTTTGTAAGAAACAGTAGATCAATGAAACTATTGAACTGTGTAGAAAAAAAAAAAAACACATGAAAACAAACACAACATCTAGTAATGTTCTTAAATGCTTTCTCCTGTTTTACATTTAGTATGGCTAAAATATTAGTATTTTCATGTATTGCAAAAGCTTGATGGTTTTAAAGAGGATACATGTTCTATAACGTGCACTCCTAATCTTAATTAGCAGCTGAATGCAAAATTGCACAATGTAAGAGAGCAGAAATTATAAAAGAAGTAGGGTTTTAGAAGGTATTTCATACATTTAAAATAAGTAAAATTAATATTACTATTGATAGAAGACCACATCAGAGAGTTCCAGATAATGCAGAAGATTAGCACACAATTAGCCAGCTTTTATATACAATGTGACACTTGCTTGTAAGAAATAAGTGTTCTCCAAAGCAGTGTCAAGATATGTAAATGGATGATTTGTTTTATCATTCTTCACAGCCCCTAATAAATTCAAGAAATCATGACTTCTATAGGTACTAAAAATAGGTTCCCAATGATACAGGGAGATAGCTTCAATGAAGAATGACTCTCTTTCTCTTACACAATTTAGTCTTTTCAATGACAGCAATTAGCACTCAGACAGGCAGCGATTAGGTATATATTTTAATTATTATTCATCCTACTAATACCTCCAAATCTGATGAGAGTCGGCTATTACCCAGGTAATATGTCAGTCTTAATGCTGTTCTCCTATACTTCACATATATAAAACTATCTTAGAGGATATTTCTAGTATTAATAAAAGCGATGATACTGGGTTGCTACAAGTTGAGACTTGACAGCATATGACAACATTACAATATGCTATGATTAATTATTTTCTAACTTGTTAGTACTGACTTCACAAAGTTGAACAAAATAAACTCGACCGACATCACCTTTAATTTAAAAATTTAAAGCAGACTATAAATTAAAATTCAATGATTTAACATTTTTTATTTTAATTTAGGTGCATGCTTTGCTGTACAATATAAATAGGGCAGAAGATACATACTCTATAATTAAACTCAATATGTCCAAAGGTTTTCTGGAGAGACAAAGTGCCTATGTAGGATTTTAAAGGTTTGATATTGCAAGTTTGATGAATGTATATATGTGTGCACGTGTATGTGTGTTTATTTTTACCCCCCTGGGAAAAACATACAGTGGAAAGGAGAAACCTAAATTTGGACAGGGCAATAGTATCTCCATATACCTCGGATTTGTACCACTGTCCTACTTCCAAGTTAAGTTGTAAAGCACTGTTTAATGAAAGATTGGAGCCAGTTTCAAGAAGACATATGCTCTGAGACTTCAGATAACATTCCAGTGTGTCTATGATGTTTCTTCAGGTTTTGAGGTGGTCCAAATTAAACTGGGGTAAGAGGTAGTTGAGGAAGCAGTATGCTGAGGGATATAAAAGCTACCCTTGGAGTCCTGGTATAGCACTGTGGGTTAATGTGCTGGACTGCAAAGTTGGTTTGAACCGCAAGGTTGGAGGTTCAAGCTCACCAGCCGCTCCTTGGCAACTCTATACAGGGTTGCTATGGGTTGGAACTGACTTGATGGCACTTAACAACAACAACACAACCTATTCCAACACCCCTGCTCAAGACATGAAACCCTTTCTCTGTAATTCAGGCTAGCTTCCTGTTCATTCTTCAAGGACTCCTGAGGAGTGACTGGGACTAAGAAGGGAGAAAGGAGAGAGAGGATTCCTCATAATTGCTGAGAAACCTGGATTCTATCTTGTCAAACCACACTGAATCGGCTTTAGAAATGTTCTCTACTATGGGCTCTCACACACTAAGGTGCATTATTACAAGGATTATATAGCATAGATTTTTTCACATTCTCTGTTTTGTTCTAATTTTTATATTTGGGATGCAATGTTAGGTTGTTGGTAGGTGCTATAGAGTTGGTTCTGACTCAGAGCGACGCTATGCACAACAGAATGAAACACTACCTGCTCTTGAATCATCCTCACAATTGTTGTTATGCTTGGACCCACTGTTTCTGTCACTGTGTCAATTCATCTTGTTGGAGGTCTACCTCTTTTTCACTAACATTTCTTTATATAGCAGCACCATATGCTTTTCAAAGGATTTTGTTCTTGTTCATCACCTTTGATTCTCACAGTAGTTCACGAAGTAGATGAAATCGGAATTACTGTTTCTAATTCACAACTATAAAACAAGCCCAGAATCACAGAGTGGCTTGGCCAAGAGTTGTTGTTGTTGTTAAGTGCTGTCAAGTCAGTTCCAACCCATAGCAATCCAGCACAGGGTTTCTGAGGAGCAGCTTGTCAACTCGAACTGCTGATCTTGTGGTTCAAACAGATTTTGCAGTCCTGTGCATTAACCCACTACACCACATCAAGACTCTGGCCAACAGTACTTGGCACCTTGTTAGATTGTTGCTTGGTGCCATTGAATCAGTACCAACTCACAGCGACCCTAAGCACAAGAGAATGAAACACTACCACTCCTCTGACAGTTTGTCATACTGTGGTGGTTTGCATGTTGCTGTGATTCTGGAAGCTATGCCACGGGTATTTAAAATATCAGCAGGGTCACCCACAGTGGACAGATTTCAGCTGAGCTTCTGGTCGATGAGAGACTAGTAAGGAGAGATGGACTACTTCAGAATATTTAGTCACTGAAAATCTGGTATCTGGTAGATCCTTAATTATTGATTACTTAGCAAGTGAATTAAAGGAGCCCTGGTGGAAGAGTAGTTAAGCATGCAACTGCTAACCAAAGGTCAGAGGTACAAAGCCATCAGCCACTTTGAGGGAGAAAAGCCCTGTTGTCTGCTTCAGTAAAGAGCCCAGCTTAGAGCTGTATGGAGCCATTCTACACTCTTCTACAGGGCTGCTGTGAGTCGGAATTGACTGGATGGCACACCACACCAGTAAAGAAATAAGCCAGAATCATTATTAAAAAGGATTCTCCTAACTCCTTGTTCTGAATTACTTCCAAAAGTCCATAGCATTTCCTCTTTGCAAAATATATATACAAACATACAAATTATTCACAAACCAAAGGGAGAAGGCACCTTATGTGGTTTATATTACTTGGGGGAGTATTTGCTGTTATAAGATGCAGTTGAATCAGTTCTGACTCATAGCAACCCCACACACAACAGAATGAACTACTGCCTGGTCCTGCGCCTTCCTCACGTCATTTCTACATTTGAGCCCACTGCTGTTGCCACTGTGTCGATCCATCTCTTTGGCGTCTTGCTCTTTTTCGCTGACCCTCCATTTTACCCAGCATGATGTCCTTCCCCAGGGGGCGAGAAGGTAGCAACAACTGTGATCTACTGTTATCTCTTTAAAGTGCTGGTCTATTTCTTTACATATCTAAGAACCCATGCGTTTATAAAAATTTATAAAAGCTATGTTTGCAAAGAAAAATGATGGCAGCTTTAAATTCAGATGAATTCAACTAGTGACTATTTCAAGCAGATGAAACAATAAAATGATTAGTATGTTATGATCTTTTGAAGGGGAAACCTAAATCCAGGCTTAGTTATGGCTGGTGGTTGTGTGATATCAAATTGGTTCCAACTCAGCGACCTGTGCAGGGTTTCTGAGCTGTAAATTTTTACGAGAGCAGAAAGCCTTATCGTTCTACTGTGGAGTGGGCGAGTGGATAAGAATAGTAGCCTTATGATTAGTAGCCCATTGTTTCTAAAAAGCAAATCTCAATGAATTTTGTTATTTGCCACCTATAGTGAGACTTTCATAAAGAACTTCCATCTAAAAAAAAACATTAGAAAGGATGTTTCTAATTTGGAACAAGTATTAAATTTCATATAGACTATGTGTGTGCAAGGGTTATTAACAGCTCATTTATGAATCTTACCACATATGATACTGGGAGCTGTATAATATATTCATCACAACAGATAAATGGAATTTAAAAAGTTAAGGCAAGGAATAAAACTTCTTCTTGAAAAAGTTCAAGTCCGTGGAAAAGGATGTAGATAGACTGGTGGTTATGGGCCATGGAGTCGGTTCCCACTCACAGTGACCCTGTACAGGGTTTCCGAGGCTGAAAATCTTTATGGGAGCAGAAAGCCTCATTTTCCTCCCATGGAATGGCTGGTAGTTTTGAACTGCTGGCCTTGATGTTAGCAGCCCAACTCGTAACCACTACACTACCAGAGCTCCTTGTAGATAGACTAGTAAAGGAAAAATATGGGAAATTATATGGTCAGAAAGAACCTAGGTGTTAGAATACAAGAAGGAAAGAAGAAAATAAACCCAAAACACATACTGATATGTGTATAATCTAAAGAGGAATAGAGTAAAAATATTCTGGACTTTTGCAAAATGAAAATCATTTGTCTAATGGAGAATAACAACAGTAATAACAGGTGTTGTTAAGTGCTGTTCAGTCAATTCCGACCCATAATGACCCTGTATAGGGTTTCCAAGGAGCAGCTGGTGAGCTTGAACCACCAACCTTGCAGTTCAAATGGCTTTGCAGTCTGACGCATTAGCCCACAGCACCACCCAGGACTCCCTAATAGAGTGGTGAGATGATAATAACACTACGGAATTACACAGCTTTGTCCTTCTCTCTGTTCAGTCAACCAGTCTTATATTAATGATAACTGAGGGAAAACTAGGTAGTTAACTAGCTCATTCATACAATTTAAGTATATGACTTCATTAAACACAGGTTGGGGAGGCAATTATTTATAATATCAAATAGGTAAATATAAAGAAAAAAGAAAATTTGAGCCAGATATTTAAAACAGGAATGAATAATAAGTTAAAAGGTAAAATAACAACAATAATATAACAAGAGCATGTTCAATGAGTCCTTGTTAGTTTTAAGGCTCACTATTCTTAAGGAGCTCTGTTAGCATAGTGGTTACGAATCAGGCTGTGAACCCCAAGGTCAGCAGTTCGAAACTACCAGCTGTTCTGCAGGAGAACGATGAGGATTTCTGCTCCCGTAAAGATTTACAGCCTCGGAAACCCTGTACAGGATCACTAAGAGTCGGTTCTGACTCCACGGCACACAGCTGCCACCACCATTCCTAAGGGGTCCTGGTGTGACGCTGCAGGATAATGTGCTGAACCGCAAGGTCGGTGGTTCAAACCAACCAACTGCTCTTTGGAAACACTTTATAGGGTTGCTATAAGCTGGAACCAACACAATGGCATTAACAACAATTCCTACGGAAGTCTGAAAAGGTTTCTTACCCTGAAGCTGGACTATGGCCAGTCCTGGGATTCTCCTAGCTCAAGACTCTGGCTTAATATTACTTCAGCTTTTTTACTCCTCCCTCTATTGGCAGTGGTGAGTCAAACCATTTAAGAATGGCATACTCTGCCAGCATTTCAAGAAGAAAAGGACACACCAGAGTGTACATTAAGCTTCTTCTTGTAATTAAGCAGCATCGACGCTAAATAGCTGGTGGAAAATTAAACATCAGGGAATAAAAATCTCCTAACACTGAGACCTTTTTAAACTAAAGTTCCTACTTTACAATAAATGCATACATAATATTCTATAACAAGAACCAAAAGAAAAGACTTTAAAAAAATTGTTCTTCAGAAGGATTTTCTATTATTAGTTCAATCATGTCCAGCCTTTTCTATCCCCTCTAAGTGTTCTGTCTCTAGAAATGGAGAATGGGGGTGGGAGGTGATCTATGCTGGTGGGGGCTCAAGACATCAAGGCTCACACCTATTCATCTCAGCATTAACAAAATCCAGTCTCACCTCTCTCATCCATTCTCGAATCGTTTTGCCAGCTTCTTGATGCCACACATTGTGAACAGAATCTGTCAGTGCCACAGAAGTGACCTTACTTTTTACATCTGCTTCTCGTTGAATCATCTGTTGAGAAAAAGGAAAAGAAAACACTGGCTACATATATATATATATTTTTTTTCCCTACTGGGTGAAGCCTGCTTAGTCATAGATAATAATAATACTATATCAAAAATGAAAAAGCAATATGCATCTCTGATTCAAAGTTGCTCTTTTCTACATGGAAAACATGCCCTATTCTTATCCAGAGATGTGAAAAGACCTCATATTTTTCTTTAGAAAGATAATACTACTTAAGTCTTAGAACTACGCAGCTCTATTATTTTCCATGTGGTTTAACAATTCAGGGATTAAAGGGATCACAGGGAAAAAAAGGAGGAATCCCTAAGGGTTTCTTTTACAAGTTTCTTCCACCACTTCCTATTTCATAGCTTCAGGGAAGTTAATACCTGGGGTTCACTGTTAGCTACTTAGGACTAACTTCTACTAATTTTCAGGATATAGCATAGCAGTAAAGAAAGACATCTTGCTTTGACTTCTCCAGTTGAGCTAGCCTTCTTCTCACCATGTTCTTGTCATTCATTGGTGTTTTAAGTGCTCACAAAGATCCTTCTCTTTAATGACTTTGACTATCATTTTGCTTTCTGATATATTTCCTTATGTCAACAAATGATTCCACTTTAATTTTTCTCTATAGCATGTTATTTCTACAAAATTAAATGATGTCTTAAATTTTAAAAAAGTAGCTAGGCTTGGACATACTAAAGAATTCATCAGTGGTCTGTAAGATAAGGCCCTGGAAAATAATAATTCTCCGTCAGAAGAATAGAAAAGGGTTTGAATCTACTGAGTAACAAGAGTGACCCAAGTATAAGAAACCTTAACAAAAAATTACAGTAAAATGCAATAACTAATCCTCTTCAGTTTCATAGTAATACCCTTTCTTTACAACAAATGCCCTTTTTCTGTTTCTAAATTGCTCTATCAAAGAAAAAGAACAATTTCTATATCATCTGTTACCCATTTCTGTAAATTATCTTATCAAAAACATATTACTTTAAAAAGAAAAAGGATAATCTGAATGGCTATGAAAGCTGATACAGATAATATTACAAGCCATATTTCTGACACCAAATGATGCCTGTTGGTATTTTGAATGAAACATCCCTCTTTGCTCTCTTAAATGTCTTTAAATTCTGCATATTCCTTATCACTGTACCGGTGCTGTCAGTGCAGCCACTCATGGTGCCACCCCCTCCCATTTACCTGCTCCTGTACCAGACCATACAGAATCATCAGCAAGATTTATGATCAACTATAATCCCAGAACACTAGCTGATAAAAAGTTATAATCTGATTATAAATACACTATTTTGTAGATTATATGGATACTAACAACAAAACTGTTTTGTAAAATCTTTCTACATTAAATTATAACATTATTAGCAATATTATTAGGAAGCATTTCTTAAAATTTTTTCCTTCATTTCCTCTAATTACTACTTCATCCTCAAAAAAGTTATTGAAAAAAAAAGTTATTGAAATAGGTTCACAAACATTACCGCAATGTTGTAGCTAAAACATGAGAACTGACAAAATCAACAACTATAAAAACATCAGCAGCACAAAAATAACAGTGCATGTAGTCTGTATAAAAGAAATTACGTGACCTGAGCTTCATTGTAAATGGGTAATAATATCTACTTTGACCAGACCCCATTCAAGGTTCAAGAAGTAACTCAGCATAGAGTTTTATAACAACTAACTACAAGGATACTTTTATGAAAAATAATAAATTTCTGCTGAAACATTACACAAACATTTTATAGACAGTCATTTTAGTGTCATTCCCATTATTGCAGCTCGTACCTGAAACCTTTGTGCCCTATGTTTTCTACTTGTTGTTTTTGTTGTTAAGAGCCATCGGGTCAGTTCTGACTCATAGTGACCCTATATATCAATTCCAAGGAGAAGATGGTGAGCTTGAACTGCTGACTTTGTGGTTCAAACTGACCTTGCGGTCCAGCACATGAACCCACAGTGCATGTTGAAGTCTTATAATCAGTGTTAGCTATCAACATCTTCAATACCAATGATTTTTTTTTTAAGCTTTTATTGTGAATTGAGTGATAGATCGTTTACATGGGAGAACATTGGTTTTACACTTACCCTATCATATTTTGTTTCATTGCAATGATGCATCATTTCATAGTATTTGCTTCTATCCCCCTGTTAATACCAACGATTTAAAACTTTCATATTCTTTCCTAACCCTTCTAAATTTTGGCCTTAGGTAAAGGCTGTCCTTTCAATCTTGAATAGTTGACCATTTCATAGTGTGTGTGGTGCTGTGGGCTAATGCGTCAGATTGCAAAGTCGTTTGAACTGCAAGGTCAGTGGTTCAAGCTCACCAGCTGCTCCTTGGAAACCCGATACAGGGTCACTATGGGTCAGAATTGACTCGGCAGCACTTAACAGCAACAACATATATCTATCTACTGCTTGTTTGAAAACTGAGCCACGAGGGTGAGTTCAGTTCCAGACCTGAAGTGCACAATAATATTTAGAAAATAAAAAATAATACTCTAATTTAAGATTTCACATTAATTGTTAATCTTCTAGATTTAATCCTAAAATAGATTCTTATTGGATCACTTTGGCACTGGTGGTGGTGGTGGTTCTTCGGTACTGTTGAGTCCATTCCAACTTCTAGTGATTCTTTAAAGGGTGACTGAGGTTGTAAATATTTACAGGAGCAGAGCACCTCATCTTTCTCCTATGGAGTAGCTGGTGGATTTGAACTGCTGATCGTGTGGTTAGCAGTCCAACTTGTAACCACTACCAGGGCTCCTACGTTAGCACTAGAATATAAAAATTTAAACAGACACTAAATAAAAGCCAAAATTCCTCAATAATGAGTTTGCCTGGCTCATAAAGAACTTAGCGGTCCCTACTCTTATTTCTTACCAGAGATACTTTCTGAGATCTAGACCAACTATTATTGAAGTCACAAAATAAGGACATGCTTTTCTGATTTGCTAAAAATATTTCTGAATTTAAAATATTTGACTTGGAATTTGTTATAGTTGTTGTTAACAGACTTAGACATATCTGAAGACACTACCTCTTGAGACCCATTTGCGAAAATGATATGAAATCAAGCAATGAATGAATAGGCAAAGGAGTTCATGCACCCATAGAAAATCTGTATTAAAATTCTACAAAATTGTAAAAAAACATAAATTATTAGGTAGATGACTAGAAGAAAAATACCTCTGGTCTGTCTGTTCATCTGGCTTACTTCTCACTAGATTTGATCAACACCAGATTCAATGATGTTCCATACATGAACACACATTATAGCCCAGTATGATACTCTCTTACACTGTTACAGTCTTTCACGGTTTAAAAAGCACTTTCATATAAATTATTAGAGGTAGCAGCCATGTGCTCAAACGTAGGAATGATTGTGAGGATGGAGCAGGACCAGGCAGTGTTCTGTTCTGTTGTGTATAGGGTGGCTAAGAGTTGGAACTGAGTTGACAACACCGCATAACAATAGCAGAGGCAGAAGTTGTCGAAATTCTAGAGGATCTCAATGAACTCTTTACAAATGAACCCAATAAGAAAGAATTTAAAATATTTGCCTGGCTAGGATTAGAAGAATTATGAATTGGTAAAAATCTTAACAGACAGAATATTTACCTATTTCAGCCTTGTTGCAACTGAATTTAGTACTACTAGAACTACTTTCAACTGTCAGATTTGTCCAAAACCTCAGCTTCTTGTATTGTTGGTGATCCTCCCTTACTGCATTCACTGTGAATGAGCACTGATGAAAAATGCTGATGAAGTACAGTGTAGCAGTTTATGGAATGCAGACATGAAATATGTTTACGAGACACATTTTGTTGGAATACAGCTAAAGCAAGGAATGTGTTGAGGCACAGCTGGGAAAGAAAACGTCTTCTGTAATACTTTATAATCTACTGTATTAGCTTGGTATACTCAGAGATCTGAAAGGGAGGAAGTCAGATCACCCAAGTCCCAGTGCAAGTCAACCTAGGTTAGAAATAACAAAACCAGTAATAATCTGTTGCTGTCGGTCAATTCCATCTCAGAGTGACCCTATAGACAAGTAGAACTGTCCTCATAGGATTTCCTAGGCTGTAAATCTTTATGGAGAAAGACTGCAACATCTTTGTCCCATGGAGTGGCTGGTGGGGTCAAACCACCCACCTTTCAGTTAGCAGCTGAGTGCTTTACCACTGAGCTACCAGGGCTCAATAAAATTATTATTACAGTTCTTCAATAAATATCTAGAATAAAAGGAAAATCAGATTTTTCTATAAATCATATTGATGATTTAAGAATACGAAACAGTTGATTTGGCCATCTGATACTTTTGTTACCTCTTAGTCATCTATCTATCCATATTATTCTCACTTCAGCTTAAACACAATTAATCCATTCTTTTCTCCATTGTATTTCATATTCCCAGTCTGAAAAGAGTTTAACCCCAGAATATCAAGAACTTAGAAAAGTTTACAAGTATATACCACACACACACACATTATCCCACAGCATCACACCAGGACTCCACATACACGCAGGCCCATCTAATCCTAAAAATTTTGATGGGGTTGAAATTGAGAGGAAAAAAATCCCTTGCATTGTTCTTTTTTTCTTTTTTTTTTTTATTCCATAGTATAAGTAAGATTTAGATTTTTGAAGAACTGTGACACGGCAGGTGAATTTATTAGAGTGTTTGTATGAGTGTCTGGCAGGATGCGGCACTGTGGGCTAATGAGTCAGACTGCAAAAGCACTTGAACTGCAAGGTCGGTGGGTCAAGCTCACCAGCTGCTCCTTGGAAACCCTATACAGGGTCATTATGGGTCAGAATCGACTCAACGGCACTTAACAACAACAACAACTCATATACAAGGGAGTGTGGCTCTATAGGATAAACACTGGACTGTGAACCATAAAGTCTGCGGTTCAAGCCCACCAGCCACTCCTTGGGATCCTGCAAAGATTGACAGTCTGTAAAACCTCATACAGGGT